CCTTAGAACTGAAGAAGCTTCTTGGATGAGAGGTGAAACGTCTTCAAGCAACTTAAAGAAGTCCAGACGCTTTTCTTTGCAAGCTCCTTTGACTACGATTACCTGGATGACCGAGAACCTTCACAGACATATCACAGCTCAGGGAAAAAAAAGCACCGAAATGTGCGCTGCTTTTCGGTCTGGTTACTACCGTTTATGTCAGAACGCACCGGACACCGGTACCCATCCCAACATCTTAGAACTCAGACTTTTAAAATAACTCCAAGTCATGCCACTTTAAGAAATCCTTTCAGAGTGCATGTATTAGTACGTATCATGTATTACATGATATTACCAAAAACCTTCTTTTTCTACTGATTTTGAAATGAATGCCCAGATCGAAAACCCTTTGTGCCAATTTCTTTTTTTTCTTAACTTTTCTACATAAGTAAAAGCCACTTGTTCTGATTAATTAATCATTTCAGGAAATAGTAAAAAAAAAAAAAGAGAGAACCATAAATGTGGTCCAAAACCTAAGGTAACCATTTTGAATGTTTGTGATTCTTACCTAAGAAGTTAAGGCTATACAACATGTCTCTTTCACCCACTTACACAAGCAGTTTTTTCTTCTTTTTTTGTTTAAGTGCTTTCTGTTTAACAGTAGTGCCACTTGGGTTTAGTACCTTAACCAAGGATTTTTGGCATGAGTTGGCTAAGTGAACCACCAACCTTCCTTCCAAATTTGTAGATGATCTGCTTTATCAGGTCAAGAAAAATTCCCTTTTAACAGGAAGAAACCTCCAGGAGAACCAGGTCTTCTGCTGCAACCAGTTGGGAGTGAGGGAAGGAAGACAGGACAAAAGACGTGTTATGGAAGCGAGCCAGAGATTGTGATACAACATACAAGAGAAGGCCTGAAATGAAAGAATGAAAGACCTATAAAAAGGACACAGGCTTTTCAAATCCTAAATAAATTAATATAGAAAGCGCTTCTTTTATGTGTAAATGAAATTGAGTATGTATGACTTATGACTGAAGAAACAATAAATAGTAAACCACTAACACTAGTAGACTTTACCACTAACTAATAATAACTTTATCATTGTTCTAATATTGTTAAAATACTTTATAACATATAAACCGTTAATGACAATTAGAAAACCTAATTACGTATTAGTATGTCCACATACCGTCACCAAAGCCTGTACAAATGGCAACAGGTCCACAACGTCATGACGTCACCCAGCGTTACTTCAGCCAGCCAAAGCTCTGAAGTAGTTCGAGGCGCTGTCGTTCTGTCCTGACCGCCTGATAGAGAAGCTTTATTTTCTTTCGACAGTGAAAACACCAGCAAAGAACGGAAGCGAAATAACGGGAAGAAGAACACAGACTGTGCGCTTCTGTTCAGAAACCCGGCAACCATGGGAGCTGCTCTGGGGACATTTTCTTTTGCAAGCTGGGTAAGGTCTAATGCTGCGACTCAGAAGTGAGGTTTTTACAAGCACCTTGATTTAAAGTGATGAGAAATGTAAGGTGTCGAAACAACCTGAAGCTTAGACAGGTAGTAGGCTAGTGCTAAAGAACATTGACACACTCAGTTAGCTGCTATATTAATTCCCGTTGTGTTCTGTGATCTCGCTCAGGTTTGTTAAAACAGTTATGGTTTCGGTAACGTTTCAGCTACGCTGGATTTAGATTTTATCTGCAGAAATCTGAGAATCCCCCTGAAGTAGCTGCCGCGTGAGGAGCAGTTCAAATATACGGCACAACAGATAGTTAATCCCAACGCACTTGGTCATCTGCTGGCATGTGATTAACTGGATTAGTTTGCGCTTTGTTACATTATAATAAGAACACAACAAGCGTCGTATTTAGAAATGTCAGTAGATGAAACGTAGAGAATGAAAACAGTATCTTTTTATATAAGGCAAGAGAGGAATAGCACTACATGGATACGCAATTAGGACTAGAGCAAATACCACAAATATATCTTGTAATAAAGCATTCAGTTTTTCACAGAGCTGTATTATCTGTCAATTTAACAACTTCATTTATACAAAAAGACAGACACAAGTAAAACTAGAAAAAACGGTATTAACAGTATGTTTTCTGTCTGGGTTTATTTATGGTTGAGATCATGATGAGGCATGGCCAACCATTTTCAGGCTGTAGGTTTTCTGGCAGACATTGTCAAGGCCAGTCTGCAGAAGAACTAAGCTGACCTTGTCTGGCTGGCATACTTGTTGACTATCTACCAAGTATCGTTATCACTTGACTCCACGTCTGGTATTAGTGTATATAAGAGTCCAGGCAGTGGTTTACTGTAAATTAATACATATGCTGTCTGACAATGTCAGGCTGTGATTGTTTGTTTTGTTTTTACTACACCAAAACTTTATCAGTTTAGTCCAGTTATATTTCTAAGTAAAGACACTAACATACATATACATATAAAGGTTAGCATGTACTACTTGCATTATATTACTGCTTCCCACAATCATGTGTCATGTGGGCAGGCCTGTGGGCACATTCTAAGTCTAGCCAAACTAGACTTAGAAACTTTGGAGTAGCAATATACATTTTACATAACGCTAAACAAATATTCTCGAGGCATATTTTCAAAGCTTTAGAATCAATGTAGCTAAAGTATATATTAGAGGAGGAGTCGCTGTGACAAATTCCTGCCCACAGGCCTGCTGGGTCTGACCACAAACACCACATGCTGCCTTTCTTAAATAGCTGCCCCAGTTTTAACAGTCTTTCCTGGGGGTTTTACTGCAACTGATAGCTCATTAAATGAAAGTGAATACTGAAATTTTGATACATTTAGGTACACATATTACCATACTATAGTTTGATACAACATCACACATGATTCTGTAGCTCTAACTGTTAATGTATATTGAATGTATAATGAATATTCTCCAGAAAAGCCTTAAAGACACTGCATGCCCATAGAGGGCATACAGTGTCTTTAATTCAAGAGGTAGAATAGACCACTTGCATAAAGTTATTGGCGCACATGTTGGCAAAGTGCGTCTCCTCTGTCCTCACAACATTTAAAGCATGTTCCCACTGTGGTCCAAATGAATGTGCCTTTACCACAAGGTAACTGTGGTCCAGTAGTTTCCAGTGAGTAAACCACATTTGCTTCCTCCATTTTATCTTTCTCATACAAATTATGTATCTTAATACAAATAAAAAAAACTGGTCTTGTCAAGGGGACCATTTGACAAAGCTTTTTGAACTTGCCATTCAAAAGTCTCTTTTCTTTATCACTTTCTGCTCACCATACATATTGTTACTGCTGCGTCACTTGCAGACATCCTGAACTACGAAAGTGGCCAAAGTCACATACTGTGCGTGAATTCCTCTGTGCGTTAATTGTGCATCAAAAAAGAAATTAAATAAATACATATATACATATAATATAATATATATTTGCAGCATCTATTCTGGCAGTCAGCATGCTGGTTGCCTGATCCCTACTGATATGCTATTGTGGTACAACTTGTCATATTTGTTCCATCCAGCATGAAAGTTGATTGAAGTAGCATTTTCTTTCATTTCATTTCATTTGTGATTAAGAATTTTATGCTAACAAGTATTCTATTTGTGTATACCTTTTACCTTAATCTTAAAGTGTATATTTGTTTCTTACTCTTCTTATATTTATTGTTTGTCTTTTGCACTGAATGGAACTGGAGCCTCGTTGTCTCGTCTCTCTATATACTTTACTGTATATAGCACAGATGACAATAAAGTTTACTTTAACTTTGACCACAATAAATACAACATACAACAATATACCATTCAGAAATGTTTTTTTATTAGCCTCTGCTTAAATAAGGGGCTTTACAGGACTGCTTGAATTCCTTTTTGTCATATTTTAACTAGCCAGTACTCAAACATTTTTCATGTGTCTGCTCAACATTGCAGGTTCTGATTCAATGTCATGGTAGGAAGGGGTATTTAAAACTTCAGGCTTTTGTCTTTAATATTTTTTGAGACCTAACTTCAGATTCCAAAGTGTGGAAAAACATGCTGGAAGTGGGTCAATAGACATTTTTCAATAAATTTATATCTTGAAATAGATTTGATATATGAAGATGTTGGCCCACCCTTTGCAGCTATAACAGCTTCAGATATTGCCAGGCAGGCGGGCAGCATAGACACTCAAGTTTGTGAATGCGATAACTTAAGAAGGAAGTCACCGAGGACTTTCAAATCAATACTATAGGTGCATCTACCAGGAGGCTGCGGGGTACCACTGGTGCTTGCCAATATTTTTAAAATTTGTGTTACTATCCATACATGTGTGGAGAGAGACAGAAACATGTTACCGTTTGCAAATATTTGATAATCATAAGAAGAAGAGCCCAGCCTGTTGTTCTTATGAACAGTAACTGTAACATTAGTTAGTGACTAGGCAGGCCCAATGACTTTTATCTGTTTCTCATATAAACAGGTTTAAGTGGCTCATCTTTAAGTACCAGCTAGAAGTCTTAATATCCTTCTGTTCAGTACAGTCAGAGAAGCCAAGGTAGTGTTTGAACTATAGTACTTTTAATTAACATTCAAGCTCACTCATGTGCAAGCAAATTCATTTATGTATGTATTAGTTACCAAACACCAGCTTTCCCCCGACAGCTCACTCCTCGTCTTGCCTAGCAAACTAAGAATATTGATTTACTCATTATCTTAGAAATCACACATTTAACTTACAGAAAAAATGAGACAATGAGGCCTCAGGTTCCATGTCTCAGTTAGTCCAGTTTACTGCAGAATACTTTACTCTGTCAGTTTGCAACAGCTGGAAACACTCAGTGCTTCTGCTTTATTTGCAGTTCCAGAAAAGAGATACATACAAGTTTCTCCATGACAGCAGCTGCCAATAAAAGCTTTCATCGTTAATTATATTCAGGCAGGGGAAAACAGGACATGGGAAGGACTGCAGCAAACTCATTAGGATTAACTAAGTAATTTTCACAATAAGAGTGAAGGAAATGTCCAGTAATAAGCAAACTTGTGACAACTTTTTAACCTGCAGAAAAAAAACTTAACGAGGGATAATTTGTTTAAAGTCTCAGAACCACACAAGCCAATCTGCTTCATATGTCCTCAAGCCTGATGGCAATAAAGTAGTCACTTTATGACACAACATATCAGATGGCACAGTGGTCAAAATACAGAGTGCTCTCAGTGCAAAGTAGTTTTTCTCTGAATGTCATTGTCTCTAATTGCCAGTGCTGTGCTGAGTCATTGAGTGTTACTCAATGAGACGTTACAGTAGACTGTGTACAGCATAACAGTACAAACATCAAGATCAGTCTATACTGGCAGTTGAATAGTTGAAAATCTAAAATAAATGATTGAAATATTTTTCTAAGTCACTAAAATGTGTTGTGTGTGCTTGTTGTCAGTACTGGAATTTAAAAAACAAAAATCCAAAGGTTTAGTAAAGTGCATCTTTATATTATGCGGTAAATGTTTGATTAAGAACATGTATATGTTGTGTTCTCACATTGATCGCTTACATCTTTCCTTACACATATCCCTGGATGTTCCACTTTTGCTTCAAGTGTAATTTTTTTATTGATCCTCCAGGTGCCGTGCCTGTGCAGCAGTGCTACGTGCCTGATGTGTAGCTGCTGTCCGAGCATCAGAAACTCCACGGTGACCAGGATCATCTATGCCTTTATAATGCTGATAGGCACCATCGTTGCCTGCATCATGCTGTCACCGGGTGTGGATCGGCAGCTCAAAAGGGTAGGAGTTGACCATAAAAATACCATAAGATATAAACTTTATTGTGAATGTAAATGTCTATTATTTAAAGTTAAAATGAAATTATAATGGTTGAAACTGGTGCATAACTGATGCAAAAAATGAGCATTCATGCAAAGCCACCATGAGATTTATAACACGTGCATCAGCACAATTTGTTTCTCGTTTAAAACAATTGTTGACAATTGTTTAAAAATGGAGAAATAAAAAGTGATGCTGACATAACAATGTTGTTTCCTCTGAGACATTAACTGTGATTCAAGTAAAGTTTGTAATCAAAGTTCATATGAAAAAAGAAAAAGAAGAAAACAAGTGGAAGTCAAGGAGCAGATGACATGTCAGCCCCAGATAACACCTTCCAATCCAGATTCATAGCTCCCAAGAAATAGTACCAAGAAATTAGAATATGTGATAAGTGATGACATCCAGCAATAACAGAAGCTATTTTAATGAAAGGTAAAATCATTTAAGATAAGGAAAACTTGAATATGTATAAACCGAAGCAATTAAATTAAATATCAATCTGTCACTCCTTTCCGTGTCCGGGCCGGGTGAGGTTTCCCGTGTTGGGTCAAATTAAGCCGCAGGCTCCACACAGTATTTTCTTTCTTTAATTGCATTTTTTATTTCTATTTAATTCTGAGCATTTTTTTTAGCTTATGGTGTTTTGGAAAATAAATAGTCAATAATAATAATAACTATAATAATAATAGTACTTTACACCTTATTTACTGTTAGTAAAAAGCAGGGATAGCTCAGTAGGTAGAGTGGTGGCCCCTTGATCGGAAGGTCGGGGGTTCAACTCCACTGAACGGCTACCCTGAGGTACCCCTGAGCAAGGTACCGTCCCTACACACTGCTCCCCAGGCGCTGCATTGGTGGCTGCCCACTGCTTCACTGGGTGAATGGGTTAAATGCAGAGGAACTATTTCCCTATGGGGACTAACACATACACATTAAAGTTAGGATTAAAGTGGAGATGATGATAATTTTGATGAAAGCCAAACCGCATGTCAGCACAAGTCCAGGCCTCAAACCATCTCCATCAAGAGTGCTGTGCGTAAACAGATGTCTACAAACCTCAGTGTACTAAAGCAATTTCCTAAAGATGAAAGAGCCAAATTTTCTCCTTATCAATGTCAGAGACAGATAAAATCTTGTAGAAAACCTATTACATTATTGCTGCTAAAGACCTGAGACTGGAATAGAGACTTTGCTTTATTTACTTCTGACTGTAAAAGAAGCTCGATCATCACAACCCTAACACCATAGCCCTAACCGGCCCCTTCTCGGAGTAGACATCAGCAGGTTTTTCTCCAAGTCACAAAGCTTTGACATCATAACAATCTGATTGTTCACATGCAATCTTGACTTATGCTGAACTAGTAACAACAATATCATGAGGATATATCAAATATATATCAAAACACAAAATTCCCTGCTGCGTATATATTGTCTCTCTGTTCTTTGTCATGTTATTGTCATTTGTTCCCTTCGAGCTATGTTTCTTTCCTAGTGCTTAGTTTGTTCCTAGTTTCTACCTAGTCTCAATTTTTGAACTTTGTTCCCTGAATTACGGCAATAAAGCTTCCTGTTGAGTTTAGCTCTGGTTGCGAGAACAAATCAAATTTGAATCATTGGTGAAAAAAAACCAGTAACATCCTTCCTACAGAAGCTAAGTACAGCAACTGGTGATATTTATTTAGATGGCTTCTCTCTAATTGATCTCTTTGAACTAACTTTAATAATTACTTTCACCGTGCCATCAGCATGTCATTTCAGTGAGGAGAGATCATTAGAAGGAAAGTGGAAATGATATAAAGCTCAGATTAGAAAAAGGTTCTTGTTGTTTTCATTAGTTATACTTCTTAACAAATCAGAATCTGCAAAACGTACTTTAGAAATTTTGAAATCATAATCAGCTAAGAAAAGTTCAGGTGGTGTACCCGTACTTCTTATGGCCTCAGACAGTGGACTCTTTGTACCTGTCCTGCTAAATCAGTGCAGGATTCAGTATTGTTGACTATAAGATTATACGAGACAGCATGGACCACACTGTTGGATTTAAAGGAAATACACTGAACTGCTTTGAACCATGTATATCTAATAGATTACAGTTTGTTCAAGTAAACAGGGTGCCTTCTTCACATAACAAAGTTAGTAATGGAGTTCCACAGGGTTCTGTGCTAGGACCAATACTTTTTTATACGTGCTTGAGGCAGTATTATTAGAAAACATGACATACATTTGACCTGTAATTTTCTTCTACGAAATTCTGATAAAATTCAGGTTATTGTATTTAGTATTAAAAATCTTAGAAAACATTGTGTCTAATCAGACACGTATTTCAAAGGTGGCTCTTCTTTACACTCTCTTAAAAGCCTCATATGCATATAAAAATCTCGTCTGGATGTACAGAAAACAAGGGTCTTTCTCTGATTTTCTGTAGATCCCAGGCTTTTGTGAGGATGGGGCAGGTTCGTCTGTCCGTGGTCTACAGGCGGATGTCAAGTGTGAGATGTTTGTGGGGTACCAAGCAGTTTACCGTATATGCTTTGGAATGAGTATGTGGTTCTTGGGGTTCTCCGTTCTCATGATAAACATAAAGAACAGCAGAGATCCACGTGCTGCTATCCACAATGGGTAAGTACTGCAGTAAAGCTAGCAAGATGTAAATATTTTTACCAGCACAGTCCTACCAATCCTAAGGTTCAGTTTTAGACTTTTTTAAACCATAGCAGGTACATAAACAAAGCAGCCATAGATCATTTGCATTTAAATATCGCATTTCCAGGCCTTCACTGTGTTTGCACTCTAGTCCACCTTGGCTCTTTAACACTGTGAGGTTGTAAAATGTAAATTATACAAGATGTGTTTTAGCAGAAGACCTTTGTTTTTTAGTTTACAAAGTTTTAAAAATGCAACAATAAATATTTATCATAGCTGTCCAATGTCATTCTAGCACATATATAATGTCCATTATCGTATTTGGCTGTAAAGGTCTTATTTGGTTTTATTTTGGTCTCACCAGCAGTGTGTCTTTCAAGTTTAAGTGTAAGGTCAGCATAACATAAAAAAGTAATAGTAATAAATTCTAATAAGGTCACTAAATAAGTATTAAATAAATACATGTGTGATGCAAATTCATATCAAAATCAAAGTGTGTTTGGACCTTTCAGGGTAACTGATTGGACTCTGGATATACAGTGGCTTGCAAAAGTATTCGGCCCCCTTGAACTTT